GAAGCGACTACTGTCTTGTTTGGCTCAAGACACGTGGACCAGCAGTGAGCTGTGCGTGCTAAAAGTGTGAACTGTCCGAGTGTTTTGTGGGCTTGCCTTGCTTGCAGCAGTGCTTGGACGTGTTTGCTTGCAGACCTGAAAGACCTAAGGCTTTCTAGGTTTTTAACGGGTTTCACAGACGAAGCCTCACGACTTAGAGTTCAGCGCGCTGCTGCTGTGTTCTTACAAGCTCAGCTCGAGGCTTCGCAGCCCCCGGTCGAGTCCGTTAGGATGAAGCCCGCCTTTCGCCACAGGTCAGAGGCACGTGTGCAAGTATGAGGGTAAGATGGAACTTGATGGCAATTTTCACCGGTGAAGACAGTCTGGAGCTCACGTATGCACCATACCGTGTTATTGCAAGTGCATACCACTTGGCTCAGGGCATCACCAATCCATGCTTTGTAAGGCCTTTTCTGGTTGCTGTACGCAGCGGTACCATGGTCGCCTGCAGCTATCCGGAGCAATGTCGAGTCGAGGGTGGACCTTCAATGATGTCATTTCTGGGCGATGCCTTTGGTTGGGTTGGGGTTGTTGGTTGTTCGGGGGTCTTTCTCTTCGGCATCGGCTGGATTAACATTGCTGCACTGCCACCACACGAGTGGCCGGCAGACATCTGCTTCGCTGCAGATACATTTGTGGAAAGTCTGCAGCATTTGCGGTTCGTTGCGCCTCTCGAGAAGCATCATATTCTTCACAGCTCATGAGTGTTTCTGGCAAGAAGCTCATGTACCGGCCTGCCTTTGCATGTAGCGGAGGGCCCGCTCTTGGGTTTGGCAGGACGACAAACACGTTCGACATGGCTGGAGAGTGTAGTGAAGAAGCGCGCCAAGCAGCTTCAGAGAAGGGACAAGGACGACTTCGGCGTCGATTCAGAGGGCTGAAGCCATTTTGCAGTGCGTGTACAGTCAGTGTGTCTGTGTGTGTCTGTGTGCATAGTTTGTACAGCTTAAAACGACCGCAGGGGCTCCTTGAGTTCAAGCCAACGGCTGAGCGCCAGGCCACGTCAAATGCACTTCCTTGTGCTGCTAAACACATGCCAGCGACAAAATTTTCATTGCATCCAGAACCTGTCACGGCTCTTGAGGTTGTGCTGTTGGTCGTGGGGTTGGTTGCTTGCCTTCCTGGAGGCTTAGCACCTGAAAGCAAAAGCTGCCTGAGTCCTTGTTGCCCACCCACTTCAGCGTTTGTGCGCAGTAGAGCGGTAGGGAGAGAGAGAGAGAGAGAGAGAGAGTGCCTGAGCGCGAGCCGGGTCAGTGCCAGTGCAGGTGTGGTTGTAGGTCCCTTTAGAATTGTTGCCAGAGCTGACCGGGCCCGTAACGCAGCACAGAGCTGTTGAGCGGGGACCAGATCCAAGCGCCGACCTTAGAAAGCGGAGGAGGCGGGGTTTGAAGTTCTTGCAGGGATCATGTGACAAACCGTCGGCCTTATCCGTTAGAAGGCTTACAACAGACACGAACCAGGGCGTGCGCGCACGGGGGAGTGGGTGCTCTGCTTTGGCTGCACATGTCTGCTTTGCATTGCTTGTGATTGTGTGGCGTCTTCGGCCCTCAGATCTTGAAAGTGAGAGAGAATGATTCGCTCTTACCCTTATGAAAGAAAGAGAGTGATTCTCCAATCTTCAATCGTTACGAGGAGAGATTTTCGTCCAGGTCTGTTGATGTTGCAGTGCTTAGATGCACACTCGGATGCCTCGGCCGATGCTGGGCTTGGAGCTATTGCGTCCAGTGCAAGCAGCGGTTTGTGCCGCTTCCAGCCATAGCACTATGAGCAACTAAACCGAGCTGAAGCTTGGCAGAGCTGAGTGCTTCTGCAGGCCTAGCCGAGCGACGCATCCGCAGCACAACTAGGGGGATTCTTCAGTGCCGGCGCTGTTGGGCGTCGCTGTCAGCCCATGGCTTGAGACTGCATGTCAGACGTGCAGTTGTGCGATGAGGCGTGGGGTTCTGTGAAGGACAGCGATGTCGCTGCACCACCACTCACCACAAGCCTTTTCAGGCCACGAATGCGAAGCGTCCGGGGGAGCTACTGGCAGACAGGACTGCTTATGGCTCGCATCTGAATCTGTAAGAAGTGCAGTCGCGGAGCGGGTTCGTGGGGCGTTCCGGGCGTGTGCGCTTCTGCCTGGATTTACGATCAGAACAACCGAAACATGCAGCCCCGTGCCGAAATGCAGGATGGACTCCCTGCACTGCGCGCCTTTTGACAGCCGCAGGCAGGACTCCCCGAGCCCCGGGCCAAGCTTCGAAGGAGGGAAACTTTGCAACCTGGCAGTCTTTGCCCAGTCTCGACGTTGAACCGAGCAGAGGCATGATGCCAGCTTCCAAGCGCCACCGCCAGGAGCTTAGCTCTTGAGTCCAGGAGCCCGAGTTGTGCTCGAAAGCATGGTAGACAATTCGTAGCATGTGGTGCGAGGGATGCGGGTATAAGGTCAGATGGGGAGTTTAGAGTTGCGTCGAATGTTCAAAAGGGATCCTAGAGAGAGACACACACAGAGAGAGACTGAACTTTTGACCGGGCAGGCATATCTTTAATACGGCTTTTCTGCAGGCTTGCTGTTTTCACTTCCCTCTACAGAGCCCCACAACAGGGGTGCGCCTTTCGGCGCCGGGGGCTTGACAGGCTCCGGTGAAGCGAAGTGAGTAAAAGTGAATTCCATTTTGATTCAAGAGACTTCCCTGCAAACTACTTGTACGGCCAGATTGTTTGTCTTCGATCATGTTGTGTTACCCATTATACTTATACTTGCAGGAGAGGTAACTTCGAACAGAGATTCTATGGAGGGGATGACCCACATCGCTGTCAGGTCCTGTTTATTCCAACCGCATCATTGGACATGATCTTCTCCAAAGGCTTGCGTCTTTCAGTGGTCAGTTCGGTTTTCTATTCTCAGGAGCCAAAGTTGCGGCTTGGATGCCGCCGTTTGATACCGGAAAACTATGAAAACCTTTACGTATTTCTTTACTTCCTGTAAGTGCCGAACCCGATATCCCTTTGAGAGCCAAACGTGAAGATTCCGACAGTATGGCTTTAGCCTAGTCCTTGCGCTTTTACCGGTTTTCACTGCCCTGTTCCCGAAAAGACATCGGGTGCTTGGAGCTGGGGGGACCTGACCCCGGAAAAGAGAGAGAGAGAGAGAGAGAGACCGTGAGAGCGTGCCACCGAGGTGTCTCCCCACGCTTGCCTGTTCCTTCGGAGGTGTCCGAGCAGGCTGAAGGACGTGCCCTTGTCTAGAAGCTGACACCGGCACTCGGAAGACAACTGACTGCCTTCCAGGAGAAGGTGCAAATGAAGCACAAGCCAGCTCGGACTGGCGAATGGTCAGGCCCTTATAGCTTCACGAAGCTTAAGCAGTGGGGTCTGCAAGTCGCTGCACCGTGAGCCCAGGTTCTTTATCACGACCGGAATGCACGAAGCTCAGCGCCTAAACACTTGGCAGCTGACTGAGCAAAATCTCATGGCGTTGGCAGGTAGTGCTTTTCAACCCGGGCGAGAAGCCCGCCTTCCGCTCTCGTAGGCTCTCGGTGGACGAAGCACTGGCCTCAACGCTTCACTCGTTTCACTGCTGAGGTGAGTGAAAGGTTTAGATCTTGACAATATCTGTATGTGTTCTACACCTGAGCTGTGCCGTGGGCTGCCTGGAAAACGAATGGAACAAAGGCAGCGCCTGGAACCGAGTTGTCGAATCCCTCGGGACGATGCCCTCTCTGTGTGCCACCGAGAAGGTTCTTTGAGAGCGCTCCTCGCACACTGAGAGGTGTCAGGTTTTCGGTCATTCGCTCCCGGTAGAGCAGGCAGGCATTGCGCCTGCAAGCGGAACAGAAAATGTGTCACCATCCCTTCCCTGGCGCGGCCTTTCCAAGGCAGGCAGACTGTCGACGCCCGCTTCGCGTGGAGCCGGCAGAATTCCCAAGACACGTACACACACAACACACGCACGCACGCACGCACTCGCGCGCAGAGACACACAGACTCACTCACTCACTCACTCACTCACTCACTCACCCACCCACCCACCCACCCACCCACCCACCCACCCACCCACGCACGCACTCACTCACTCACTCACTCACTCACTCACTCACTCACTCACTCACTCACTCTCTGTCTTTCTTTCTTTCTTTCTTTCTTTCTTTCTTCCTCTTCCTACTATGCTTCGGCTGCCAGGTTTGCGGCGCAGGCATACTTCGATCTCTTGCAAGGTGCTGGGAGAGTGCAGAACAGACAGAGAGAGAGAGAGAGAGAGAGAGACTACATTTTGGCTCAAGTACTGCACCCTTTGCTTTGGGGGGCTGTTCCCCTCCTGGCATCGGTGGGAGAGACGCGGAGTTGGCCCAGGGGGTGTCACCCCTTGGGAGAGCTTCGTCGTTTTTCCCAGCAGTGCTTGAGTCACACGCCCGCCGCATCTATCCTCAAGTGGCCCCCTGTGTTAGGGTCGCTTGCGCCGCGATTGCTGATCGAGAAGAAGGCAAACTGTGTGCTCCTCCACGACACCGCTCTTGCCGCGGAGCTAGGTGTGCAACGTTCCCGGCCGCGAACCGCTGCTGTCCAGGACCTTGCGGGCTTTAAGTACCGCACCATCCAGGCACTCGGCGACCCTACACCACTTCTACCTGCTCAAGACGATTCTGCCGGGGGAGTTCCTCGACCGTGAACTTTGCCCACTACCTGATCGTGACTTGGGCATCGACACCGTGAATAAATCCCTTGCCTTTTGGTTGCAGCCCCTCTCTTCGGGGGATGACTTCGTCAGGGGACAACCCTACGTGCCTAAGATGCAAGAAGGGTGCCTCATATCACGGAGGGCACAACCGTGCTGACCCACTGTGTATCTTGCATGGCTGCCTCCGAGAAGATGCAAAGGGTATCCAGGAATTCCTTCGCCAAAAGAAGATAGACGCAGCACTACGTGACCCAGACTCCCAGGGCGAACGACCCTCGACTGCACCTAAGCCCCTTCCAGTCGACCCGGGGGCGCACCCCAAGGCAAAAATGCTGTGCCTACGATGCATAAAGGGGGAAAAAAGCCATCACCGACACGAGCCTACAGCAGACAACTGTATTCTTTTTGGGGTGGAACAACCAACGGCAGCAAAAGCCAGAGAGCTACGCCTTCAACAAGATATACAAATGGCGCGGGACGAGGCCCGCACCGCCGCCGCTATGAGCTCAACGACGTCCACTTCACCCTCCCTCCCTTCTCCCCCCCCCCCTCCTCCTCCTCGACAAGCCAAGAAGAGACGGAAACATCGTTCCGAAAAGCCCCTGCCACAGGAGGGCACTCCTTCCGATGAGGACGAAGAAGATATTGATGAGCTGCTCCAGGACCCCCTACAGCGACTCTTCGGCACGTTCAACCAGGACATAGCTCCTCCGACAGCAACAAGGGGAACCTCCTCTGCAGCTTCTTCCAGCACAGAACTGCCATGCAATAGCCCAAGTACAGGGGACCCGACCCCTTTACAAAGACCTCAACCAGAGTGGGTACTTCCTCCACCAGTCAGGCCCAAGACAACGCCGAAGTCGCCGGGAGTCATCCGGGGATTGACCCCTTTGGAAGCGAATGCGGCACCTGCGGTCCCTGGGCGAGGACCTCCACTGCGAGCTGCACAGAACCCAAGACCTTGCATACCAGGCGAGAACAAGAAGGAGAGCTTCCACGACGAGGCGACCACCAAACTTTTCTACCAAGGGGGAAACCCCAAGCAAGACATGACCGACCTCCTCGACACCAGAGCCGAGCCCTACACCATGATGGCAAACGCGGTGGACCCTGCTTGCTGCGACAGCGACAACATGCCTCAGCGGGGACTTCACCCCACAGAAGACATCTTCGAAGACGAGAACTACGTGGCCGGGGGGAGTTTCATGCTACTCCAGCCCCCGGAACTTGCCCCGGAGTTTTTGGAACACAACCGCGATGAAGATGCGGAGCACTTGGACCACATGTACGACAACTTCGAAGACAAGGATATGGACGGGGATGAAGACCAGAGCATCCAACAAGACGGGGGAAACCACCGTGACGATGAGGAAGCAAGGGCCTGTGACGATGCAGACAGGGGGATACCTCTGCGACCACCTGAACCAGAAGGCGTCCCATCTGCGCTGACTCCAAGGCAGCGAAGCAGGCTGCAACAGCTCCTCGAATCGGGGCAAATTACCCGCCTTTCAGAGCATGAGAATGACGCGGACCTGTGGGAGCGATACAGACGAGACAGTAAGGATGCGTACAGGGCCCAGAGGAAAAGGCAACGGCAAGCGGGAACCAGATCTCCTGAGAAGCAGCACTACCGGAAGAAGAAGTACTGAGCGCCGCTAAGTGAGAGCCCCCGACCCGCTCGTCCAGGGGAAACCCTTTTCATTTCTAATTGAGCTTTTTCGCTTCTGAACGGGGGGGGAACCCGATTGCTTCGGTCCTTTGTGGTTTGTGGATCTTTTGGTTTTTCGGTTCCTCCTTCCGCTAATTGGGGATCGGCAGACATATAAACGGCACGAAATGTGCCGGCCTCTCCAATGAATCCATTTCAGAGTTGGGGGCTCGCCCCCTTTTTCCATGTGCAGACCTTTATGTTTCGACGGGCCGCTGGAGCCAACCACATTCTTTCCAGAGCTTCCGACTGAAGCATGTACGTTAGTGCTGAGGGGGTTCCCCTTTCAGATTCACCTGTATATTATAGTGACGG